GCTCAAGTCATGATCTCGTGGTCCATGAGTTCGAGCCCCGCGTCCGGTCTGTGCCGACAGATTTTTAAGAAAATATTCCACTGGGACCCCTGCAATACAGTGAATGTAAACAAATGGGTCGGGGACTTCGAAAGCTGGGGCCCCTGAGACGATACAAATGGTTTGGTCCTGTTTGGGCCCCACCTGCTTGGGCTTAGAGGATCTGGAAGCTCGCTGGCTCTGGCATCATGAGCTCAGCTGATACGATGTAAATTTTCCCTTTGCTTTTCCATTTAGTACCTTTCCTTTACTGTGTACGAACCCAAGGAGGACCCTGGCAGGTGACGCAAGACTCCAGGGAGGCAGCGGGCACTGTTTTCTTTGAACCTGCCTTTCCCATATTTACTTTGTCCTGAAGCGTGTTGATGAGGACAGCCGAGGACGCCGATAAATTATCTTTAATGTCACCATCTCGGTCACTGCCTTTTCTTCCCACCACTGCTCCTCAGGATGTCTCCAGTGGGGCCAGCTGAGGCAGGTGCCCTCACTGATCTGCCCCCATCCGTACTCTGAGGAGGGAAGGGATTGTGCCCATCTTCTTCCCTGACACATTCCCAGTCCTTAGCACATGACGGATGCCCAACAAATATTTACTGAGCAGTAAAGGGAAGGAAGGGCAGGAGGGAAGGGAAGCAGGCTCAGAGTGAGTAGCATCTCTATGTGTGCAGGCTGCTGTCTGGCAGGGTCCTTGCCTTTCATTTCCCGCTGCATGTGGGGCCGTGTGGCCTCTGGACCTGCAGGGCATGCACAGAGCTGGGAGTGAGACCACCTGTCGCTCACTGGCTTTGGGTCAGGCGAAAATGCTAGAAGGAAGCTCACCTGCTGTCTCCATCTTCTGAGGCCCCATAACTGACCCCCTCCTTTTCCTCCTAACCGTGTCAGGCAGCTGACTTGGCTTCCCATTCGGGGGGCCACCACTGCTAAATAGATGCCATTGGGCTTGGTGGGTTTGTTCCACTTGGTCCCCAAATGGTGACAAGTGGAGTCAACTGTGACAGAGTTTCTCAAAGTTTTCTGAGGAGCCTTAGAAATCTCAGTGCTCCAGGGCCACCTGGGCAGCTCAGTCAGTTGAGTGTCCGACTCCTGATTTCGGCTCAGGTCATGATGCCAGGGTCGTGGGATCGAGCCCCAGGTCT